TAAACATCTAATGGCAGAGTTGAACATTCGTAAAAAGACCACTCCCATTGGCATGACATATGAAGCAACGAAATCTATCTATTCGTACTGTTACCTAGCTAGCGGCGTATCATTATACGGTCAAGGAAACCTTGATTTGGCGATAATTAACCGAAAAGCTCTAAAACAAAGATTGCTGATGATGGTTGATTTTGAGAAGAATCAAAGTTACTTTACCTCCCAAGAAAACGAAACGTGAACAAAAAGTTGTATTATATAACCTTCTAATAATGTGCTATTGAATTTTCCCGATAAAAAAAAAGAAAAATAGTACAGATGATGATGGCGATGAACAAGGTATTGGAAAAGGACGAACGAATATTACTTCTAATTAAGTTCAAGATGGTGATTAGTACTATCTCTTTAGAAGTTGAAGAAAGAAATACCTTAAAAGGCAGAAATGTGCTTACTTGGCAAACTTTTGTTTTACTTCCTATCGTAAAATGTTAAAACAAGCAAGAAGCAATTGAGAATAAAGACTAATGAGTGACATCAGCATCTGCTAGTGCTATTGTAAGAAGTGTAATGGTGATTTAGTTGAGACAAGAACAAGAAATGCGCATGAAACTGAAGACCTTCTACAGACGATATATCTATGAAATCTGTAGAAACTAAAAGATCTCAACAACATCATAAGCGTCGTGTTACTTTACAACCTAGTTTTAAACTTAATATGTTGTGATTGAACAGGATTCAAGACTAAGGAAAACAGAAAAACTACTTTTAATTTTAGAGTTGATTAGAATTTCTTTCATAATATGGTATTGATATAAAAAAATCTCAATCCAAAAATCTCTAAATCAAAAGCTCCCATTGTTGCAGTCGCTTCACCTGCCTTACCCGAAACTATTGCTCAATTTTGTACAGAAATGTGGTAATCAGAATCTCAATATGAAAGCAAAATATAAGAGTAAAGAATGGATAGCTGCAATATTAATAGGATGCAAAAATGTTAATGGGATGCAAAGTGGTTCTTAAAATTGGAGTCCGTTGTCAAAGTAGCAACAAAAAATACGTCGATTATTGGTTTTTTTCAGCCATTCAATTATAAACTTCAAGTAAAGAGCATGCAAATGAGGTGCGGAAAAGAAACACCTATCTTAATGGGTAAAATCAATGATATGCTTACGATAAGGGTAGTATCGCTGAACGATCAAGAAAACAAGTACCCGCTGTTTTCATCTGCAATGATATCGATCACTCAATGCTCAAAACTCAAATCGTCAAGACTCAATAATTATGACAATTGCAAACGAGAGCGAATTCACAAATTCGACCAGCTGATGTGGGCGAACTTATTTGAGAAGATAATAATTTTTAACTTGCTAGTCGCATGGAGATTTGCCATGATAGTATTGATATGATGAAATAAAGACATTAGATGAATGATGTATCTTTTGTAGAAGTTGCTGAATCAATGTCTTACGAAGATACTGTTGTCTTGGATCACAGAAGGAGTGGAATCTTATGACAATCACAGATTCCTTTCTGTTCATGGTTATAATAAAGGAGGTCAATTTGGACAATATAAATATAGGACAAAACTCTAAATTTCTTTCAATTGACAGTGAATCTTAATTACTTTAAAGTAACATGCGAACTAAAATTTCTGCTGGTAGAAGTGAATTTCGCGAACTACTCTTCAAATAGCCTTTGGCTGATCAAAAATTAATGATGTACATGATGCTATCAAAATTAATGGATAATTCGACGCTTAAACATATCGAACGAGCTATTAGTATAACTGCCGATATAGATGATTTTATTGAGAATATTTTTGATGAGGATGATACAATCGTTGATGGTAATGATTTTACGATTGCCTCATTATCCAAGATAATTTGTTAGCAATTTCAAGTAAAAAAAATATAATTTTTGTAACAGGAATGCCAAATGAACGACACAACAATCAACCTCACCACAGAATAAGCAGGTCAAAGTTCAAATACACGAATGAGCCGCTGTTTAGATTCTTTACTCTATTTGATACATATTATATATTATTAGGCGAGTAGTTCTTCCCACTATGATAAATGGATTAGATAGGTCTTGAGGATTAATGAAATGAGATGTTTGAGTGTTCTTCTGATTACTCATGGGCATTATTGCGTTCATCGGTATATTTTTTATCACTAATCGTCTAATATTCGAACTAATATTTGACTATCATTCGTGCCAATATTAGTAATATAAACTTTAAGCCGAATTATGGTCTAAAGAATAACCAACATATATATATATATATATATACAATTTATTTCTAAAGTTTCAATATTTATTTATTAATTTAGTTTTAATATTAATTTCAATTTTAAATTTATTAAATTTATTAAACACTTTAAATATATACATATTAGCATCTATCTAATATAATCATAATTATAAATAAAAAAAGAGTCAAGTTTGGTCCACAGTTTCACAATCACACGATCCATATCCTGAAAAGAATGAACGTTATCTCATATAAGAATATCATCTGTTCCAAAAGATGCTAAACCTAAAAGTAAAGAGAAAGTAACATTAATGAAATGTTTCTAGGTTATCTTCCCAAATTCATACTTCCCAAGAAAAGTCTATCCTACCTATAAAAAAATATTCCAAGTCCAATTCGTTATACCTAAAGAAAAAAATCAATCAACGCTCATCCCGGTAAATATACTTGTTAACTGTTAGTTCCAAAAGAACTTGCCTCTTTTCGGTACCTACAAATAGAAAAGAAAAAGTAGTTAGTTTCTTCAAAGCAAAATTAAAAAAAAAACCTTAAAAAAAGGTTTCAAAACGAACCGTTTCAAAACTTACCGATCGATCCTACCATCAAAGTTCAAGGAAGCCGAAAACTACAAAAAAAAAAGATAAAAAAAATGAATAAAAAAATATAATAAAAAAATATAATAATTATTTTAATGAAATTTCGGAATTTTTTTTTCGAAACTCACCTGAGAATCCGGTCTCACGCGTCCAGGTTCTGGAAAAACTATGGCTTGAAACTTCTTTTGGAAGCTCTAGAACGTGTACAGAGTGTAGAAGGTGTCTCATATGTAATTGATCCAAAAGCCAAAGGATGCTCTTTATGGTACTATATACTCTTGATCCTACTACTCTAGATGGTTTATTTACACATCTTGAGTAAAATTGTGGACAATATTCGTGGTGAAAGTACAAAAAGACATTGGATTATTTTTGATGGTGACGTAGATTCTGAATGGGTAGAAAGTTATGTCACTAAACGTTTGGTTATTGGTGTTATTTGGAGATTTCGTACGTGGAATTACAATTGTACCGCATGCATCTCCTGGATCATCTGTTATTGACTCCTCCCGACTGTCTAAAAAAAGAAGAAAACGAAATATTAGTGAACGTTTCATTAGACGCGTTATCCTGTACGAGGAAAAGATTACCGAGTTTAAGACCAAAGAATAGCGACTTTGTGATCGAGCTTTTGAAGTTAAAAAACGAGAACGCGAATATCAGACAAGGAACTTAAATATAGTTTTCCATCGAATTCCCACGCGTCTCCCGGCCATCTAAAAAAAAAAAGAAAATGAAACGTTAACGAACGTTTCACTAAAATAATTTATTTAAAATAAAGAAAACTCTACCCACTGAAATCTATGTCCAAAAGAACTGAAGAATCGCCTACAAAGAAAAAAACAATTGTTAGTGAACAGTTCGTTAAATGAATAAATTAAAGTAAAAATACAACCACACTAAATCCAGCACGTTCAAGAAACAGTAATTACAATTTCATTAAAACAAAAAAATTTAAAAAAATTTAGAAAGAAGTAGTCTGAAACCTAAAGAAAGAAAATAAATGAACGTTAATAAAAAAACCGAAACAAAAATTAAGATAATGAAAAAAATTCGAATACTAACTTTCTTTTCCAAAGAGAATCATCAAAAGAGAAAAATCGCTGAAACATAAAAAAAGAAGAGTTGAAGACCTAAAAAAGAGAAGACGAAAGTTAATAAAGAAAATGACAAAAACAAAATAGAGAAGGAACAGGCGAACACAACAATTAAAAGAAAAAAACTGAAAAACTTACGAAATTTCGCGTCCAGGAGACCAAGAGAGAGCGAAAGAACCACTCAAAAAAACAAAAAATAGTCCGGCGTTTTGATAAGGATTTTTTCAACAGAAAGAATGAGAAGCGGAAAAGGAGAAAGAAAGACGAAGCAAAAGGAACGAAGGAAAGTAAGGGAAAGAAATAGTAGTTTATTTAACGGATATTTTTAGCAAATTCGAGTAACGTCTAATTGCAGATTTTTACTAATTTAGGTCGGATATAGTTCTAATTAATTGTATCAGGGTTGACTAGGAAAATAGAATATAGAAAGAAATAGTTAATGGCAACAAATATTTTAGACCATATGAACCTATGGTGTTTAATGAAGTTAGGAAGAACATATAAATAGTAAAATCGATAAATTTATAGTTCGTGATAGTAGTATTACGGTAATTATTTAAAAGACCAATTGGAAATTTTTTAATTATAGATCAACCAAAATATTAATAGATTGTAAAGAACAAAGTTATCTTGAGGATAAGACGATAAGTACTAGATATATAATTTTATATCGAGTTACAAAATAATATTGGGAATCAATTAAATGTATTTAACATAGGAAATCGCGATTAAGGAATTGATAAATTTAATGATCTTGTTAATATTTAATGAATTGAATTGAAATTAATATTCCTAAAAAGATTTTGAATATGATTAATAAGTTTATGACCGAAAGTAGCGAAAGAAAAAGTTTAAATTATAAATATTTTCTTGAACTAGTTTTTATTGGGGAGGGATTGGATTTTTAATAATAAGTTATTTATAACATGGGATTTGACAAATTTAGAATGAATAAATTTGTATTAAGATGGAATAATAGCGTTATATATGGCAATAGAAACTTGATGAAAAGATTGGATCAAATTGAATATAAAGTGAAATATTAATTAGTTAATAATGTTTAGTTTCAGAAAAGGTGAAAGCAATAATAGAAATTATACTAGTGAACAATTCGATCATATAAAATTAAAAATTTTTTTAAAACAGTTACCGACGTATGATATATTGGTAGAAAGAAATTGAGGAATATTTTTGTATGTTTGAAGATCGTACCTATAGGAAATTCAAATGTGTTCATATATCTAGACCTGTAATGCTAACAAAAAGTGGTATTAGTCTATTAGATACGTTATATGATCTGGAATTAAAATATAGAGACACAGATTCAAATAAATTCAAACAATTAATTGTCGCGATAAAAGTTGATTTAATGAATCTTTTGAGAGAGAATTCTAAAGTTAACAAGAGGTCTTTCAGGAACATTGTTATTTAAATATACGACAAAAAATTTGGCTGAATCGTTGCGAAGAGACTATAGAGTCAGAGAAAAAAGCAGGAATCACGGCAAGAGATAAAAAACGTAGATAACTAACATGAATCGGATGGTGAAGGAGTGGAGCGTATTGAGAACAAAAAATAATAGAATAATCAAGTTATTAGTAATGATGTATTGATAGATAGACCGTACAGTAACATATGGGATATACATATAGTGATAATTTAATGTAAACGTAACTTAGAAATATTTATGTAGTAAAAGATTTTATGGAAACGCAATTTTTGGACAGAAAATGAAGTTTTCCTTTAACTATCGGTTTGGATGAAAAAAATATAAAATGTTTCCATATAAGATGGTTTGATGGGAAGCTAAAGGTCAAGGATATTAAAGAGCGTTGTAAATGGAAGGCATATAAAGTGCTTTACAGTGGCTATAATCAAGGAGTAGACAAAGGTGACCAATTTTTGAATATGAAAAAAATGTACGTTTTGGAAAGAAATGGTTTAGAAGGGGCTTGGATCATCCATGGACGGCATCGAGTTCGACGTAACGGTTTATCGATTGTAAACAACGTTAACACTACAACGAAGCGAAGCGTAACTCCGGAAGATAGTCCCTTACTAGAAATTAGATAACCACAAATGATCTTATGGATGAATTGATGGCCAAAGATATATTAAAGACGCCACCGTCAGTTGAGGAGGTTATGGAAACGGTCAATAAATTTCGTATGGGAACATTAAACGAGGACAACTGTTCGATCATTTCACAATCAATTAAAAAATACACTTAACCGGAAGAAGTGGTCAAGATAATTAGAAAATTGCGGGATGTTTTACATATTTTTGTATAATGCGAGCTGTACGTCTCTCACTCAGCAGTATAAGTGTTATTTGGCCAGATCTGTTTCATGGTTTACACGCTGATAAGAAAGAAGACTGTGTAATTCAAAAAGTTTATCAGACGAAGAATTTTATGATTTACTAAGAATTGGTTAGCTCAAAAAAAGATCTCGGATGAAGAATTATACGTTTATAATCAATTAACGCAAGGTTATCGAACCAGCCGGAAGAAAAAATGATCAAATCTACGGATGGCATAAAGAAGGGAAGAAACGCGTTATGGAACGAGAAGAAGAGGAAGAAGAGGAAGAGGAATGACAAACGGTGCAGAAAAAAAAGACGAAAAATAAAAATAAAATAAAAAAACGAATTAATGTAGTATTACTTTCTTGTAAACTTTATTTTAGTATAGTTTTTAGTATAGATTGCTCAAAATATTTAGATAGTTATAGTAATTAGTATTTCAATAATTTAGTATTGTCAACATTTAATACAGGATGACAAAAACCGTGACTTAAAATTTCCTTTCGAGTTTCAACTTGCAGAGAATTTTAATGGTTCTAGGCGTCTACGCAAGCAATGCATAAAAGAGTTGAAAGCACGTTTCTAAAAGGAACAAGAATAAAAATAAAACTAAATAAGGTTCTTATCTCTATCTTGAAAGTAAATTTTACATTCTAATAATATGTGATATATAAGTTTACTTTTCAGATATCAAATACATGTATTTTTGCGATATTTTAAACTAATTATTATGTAAAATCTAATCTTATAATTTTTAAATGTAAATTATTAATTCCTTCTTCGTCTGTACTGTTATCGTCTGTACTGTTATTGTTTACCTGTTAAACCTTTTATTTGTCCATCAATCTCCCAAGCATACATATCTCAAGATGGGAGAACCATTGACGAATATGAGGTTTTTTGTTCCTCCGTGAGTTTCTTCCATTCTTGGGAAGAGTTCTGACTGAAACAGACAACTCCAGTACATCGGGTTTGTTTCTTTTAAATTGCCAACCCTTGTTTTGCTCATCTTCTTTATCCCACTTTGTTGTTTAATGCGAAGACAATGAGTTTTTTGTGTCATTGGAATAAGGGAAGAATCAGAATTTTGTGTACGTTGTGATTATTGAGTGATTTTAATTATAGTTTTGTAATTTATTTTATTAAGTAATGGGTAGGAAACAGCGATAATAAATATGAAATTACTTTTTAACTTGTAAAACTTGTAAAATGGATTTGGTATTATAGCTGTTTTCAAAAGTTATTATCCAGATAGGTACAAATAATAATCTAAGAGTATGTAGCAATTTAAAGTTTTTATCAACAATCAAATGTCTAAAGTCCTTTTATTAAACTTCTTTAATTATTTTAATTATTAGTAAAACTAAAATATTTGTAAATTAAAATATGTATGAATTTTTTTATATATATGAGTCAATAATAACTAAAATATCTATAATTTTGGATAAATATTTTGCTGATGCAGCCTTAACAGCATATAGAGTTTTGTCCATTAGAATTAATAATTTTTTCATTTTTTCATTATTAATTTTTTCTTTTTATCCTTCTGCAATTCTCTAATTCATCTTGAATACCATCTGATCTTTACAACAACTTTTGATTATTAAAGGATATTACAAAACCATACAGTTTATCTTTACTATTTTATGTATTCTTAGTAAATATAAGTAGTAAAGAAAATAAAAAATAAATGTAAATATTGAAATTATTGAAATAAGAAGTATCAGTAATAAAAGAGTTAGTTAAAAATACAAATGTATAGACTAGTTAGTTAGTTAATGATAATTCAGTTTCTATTTTACTTTTAGTATAGTTTTTTAGTTTAGGTAGTATGCATTTGTATAAGAATGTTTGTGCAAAACAAATAAATATTTTTGTTCCCCATAAGCCTTTTTTACAAATCATCTTAAAAAAAAATGAAATTCGCTATACCAAGATTTTAAAATCATGAACACTAGATCTTTTTAGAGCAAATTGTTTTTTTCAAAATTTTGAGATCCAAGGCAATGTGGATAGAGTTTTAATTTTATTAATAAATAATCCAAAATATAGTGATATAGAAATTATTTGTGAAGATAATATAAATAATATCCAAATAGGGCAATTTTAGCAGTGAGGTCAGATGTATCCCTGTAAAAAAAATTCTGGAAAAACTCTGATAAATGATCATTTTCTAGCTTTTACTCTGAAGAAACTCAGACACGTGATCATTTTTCTGAAAAATTTTTATAGGGTACTTGATGCTCTGCTTTATAATGGAATGAAAGTTATGAAAATCAAATTCATTTTCCAACATTTAATTCTTCTGTAATGAAATTATATTGGAATATGCTTATACAGGTTCAGTAGAGAAAAATCTTTAACCTGATAATATTATAATTCTAGTGTTACAGATTATTTCCAATAACCTTTTTTACTTTTTGATAATATCAAAATAAATCAAATGTAATTTCATTAGATGTATGTTGTTGCATTCATGATTATGAGGAGAATTTTAGCAAATCAATAAAATTGCTATCATTCCAATTGATCTTTTTTTATATCAATATATTAAGCTAATTAGTATATGAATAAGAGATCTGATTTTGATAGTATGATTATTCTGCTGCTATATTGGAGCCATTAATAAAAATTTCTTATTGGTGCTTTTAAGGTAATTGATTATTTGCTTTGTTAAATTAGTTTTTCCTGTACCAGCTGAACCAGTAATGAAGAAAAATGGATGCTTTTTTTATCTTTTAAAGAACTCTAAGATGAAGTTATAATATTATATACTTTATATTGATCTTGTGAAGTGTTTAATAATTCATTATCTGATATAATTATAGGTTTGGAATTAAATTATAGAGCTGTTTGCTAATAATATCTTTTATATTTTGTTGTATTGATATTAGTAAATTATTAATTAAATTTCTGTAATTTCTTGAATATAAGGAATGTGACAAATTGGTTGCATTAATTATGTGTGTTGTCATTATATATTCTCTTAGAAAAAATGCTAAAATGCTAATTGGTAAGTAGAGTGATTTTCTTTTAGTTCATTTTCACTTCTGGAAGGTTTATTAAATAACAACTGTTAATAGAAAGATGGCTTTGCATTTTAATAGTTAAATATTGAAATCTAACCAAACTTGGGATTCATTGCTAACAACTGTCTGTTTGTTATTTTAGCAGGCCGATCAATATTGTTGTATATATTGTTCAACCATTCAACCATCTTATTGATAGGCACATAAGGTTCTTGTTTTGTAACATATTTGCACATATATTTCTGATGACTTTCCATAATAGTAAAGTTGATGCATGGTAAGTAACTACCAATGATCTTTTGGTTTTGTTCAACAATATATAAATCTACCTGTATTATTATTAAAATATATTATTTCTGAAAGTGGTTTAGGTCTTAATGTTTCTGGAATATTTTCTTCATCATAATACCTTTGCCAAATAAATCTTCAATTAAAGTACTTACTCTATGAGATTTGTCACCATATACAAGCTCATAAGGAGTTTTTTTGTGAGAATAGCAATAGGAATGATTTATATATAAAATAATTGAATAGAGCCTAACATTTGCCTAATCTTTGCTGTAAAATCCCATAAGTTGCCCTTGACTTTGAAATAATGTGAATGCCCATGATTAATTATTTTTATTGTTAGCCATAATAAATTAACCAATTCTTTTATTATTATATATAAGTCAATAACAAAATTGTTACCAATTATGTTTGCTATAGAGGAAATTGCTGGAGTATATCCAGGTGGGATAGAAGATGGATCCCAGAATACTTTACTTATAGGTATAGTTATTTGATAAGCTGCCAAGTTTGTGCATTGCAACTAGAAGGATCACAGTGAATTCTTTTCATTGTCAGACTGAAGTATTTTGGGTAGAGAACCTAGGAAATGAAAACTTTTACCTAAGAAAATCATGTAAAATGGTCTTGGACATGACAAATATATTTATATTCTCCATTAGCATCATATTATAATAGATCAACCAAATCCATCTGTTAATATTAATGTAAAATTTATATTAATTTTAATAAAGTTTTAAATAGAAATTAAGAAATTAACTATCTGAATATGAGAAGATTCTTGTGTAATTAACTTTGCAGCCAAAGAATGAAATGAGGGTTTATTTGTATAGTTGTTAACAAAATTTTCAACTGAATTTTGCTTTATCTAGTTCTACCTTTCTTTAATGGATTTCTAAAGCTGCTTTGCCTTGCATATTGATCTATTTCAGTATTTGTTCTACATAGAACTTCATACATATTTTCAAGCATAAGAACTGGTTTATTATTTGCTTTAACCATTACTCTAAAATCTCCAGGAACAATTTGTTTAAGACAAAATTGCTTTTTAGTCCAATCATAATAAGTGTATTTATCACAAGTATGAGAATCTAATAATACTGCTTTTATTTTATCTAACAGTTCTAAATTTATTAAAGCTTTATCCCATTTACATTCTAGAAGTTTATTAAGGTAATTATTTACTGTATTGATTCATATCTAAATAATGAATAACAAATATTAGATTTTAATAGATTTATAAAGAAATAAAATTATTATTTACTTACTTATTATATCTTCAAAATTTGACTCTCATAAGCAATACTTAGTTAATTATATAAATTTTTATAAGTTTAAAATCTATATATATTGAAATTTATATATGCAAATTACTCATATTTTATATTCTAGATGAGTTGCTTTTCTTCAAGGTAAGCACTTTCCGGTCTGTTATAATGGACTCACTATATACTATGCAAATCTGTCTCTAAATCTTTGCTAATCTTCATAGTTTACAGGTTGATATTGAATTATATTGATATTATCTTTTTAACCAGAAATAATATAAATTGTTATGAAATCATAATTGTTTTAACTTTATCTACTTTAATAAATGTAAACTTTTTAAGTATATGAACAATATCAATTTTACTACTAAATGATTAGACATTTCTATGCAATTTTGCCTTATATAAAAGAGTGATTTACCACAGAATATATATTACTTTAAATGCATAAGGATGAGTTTGGTTTCTTACATCTTCACTTATTATATATAAAGAGCATATTTATGAATAATAAATTATAAATTTGCTTGCTCTGATTATGACTGAAAACAATAATTTAAGCTATATAACCACTAGTCTGGTATATTAATAATATAATATTATTTTACTATAAAATAATAAACTATAAGATAGGATGTGATATTGTGACAGGATTAACTGTCTATCACTATTGGATTCATTGTATTTTTAATAAAATAGATGATACTTA